TCAGACTTTCCAGTTGACTGTGATGGTGGCAGCAGCCATTTCCAAGTGACTTTCTTCAACAGAAAGTTTGCCCAAGAAGTTGCTAGATTTGTTGCTAGGTGCTTTTTGAAAAAAATGTCAGTAAAGGGAGCTGAAAAGTAGGTTAATCTGATGACAAACATGCTGAGTTGACAATACTGCCTGTTTGCGTCAAATCAAAATCGAAGAGCAATGACCAGTGGGTAAACTCCAACACTCAGTAGTGGAACCTTATCTCTCAGTCAGACGGCATTCGGCTGACCAATGGCGTAACTTCATCAGTCAGTCAGTCAGCGACAGACCTGTTTATAGGGTCTGCAGCTGATGATCCATGTGGGAGTCATAGAAGGAAAGGGGCTGCGATGTTCTTGTATTTTAGAGTAGAGTTGAATGTTTTCGTAAGCTATGATGGACAACCAGTTTTCGGGGACGGGGTTTAGCGAACAGTCAGTTAGAGCCTGATCATTCAGTATATTATAGCATTATGTTATCATGTAAAGATAATTGACATGGAAGTGTTATCATCAGACTTTCTTTTCTGTTTCATTAGCTAGTCTATAATGATGAGAGTTGTCCCCCTTCTACATCTTATCTTTACTTATTTGGGTCCTCTGTGTGTTTGATACAGCATTTTACATCTTGTATATGCAGCAGGGTCTTACTTGTTTGTACAGCACATGTGTGGCTCTGTGTTTGCGTGTGCATGTACTGAGCACACAAGGATATGCACAATCCTGTTATCAGTATTTAAATTAGGACCGTCATGCGTCATTTCAGAATGCTTGACCATCTGCAGGCGTTCTCTCCTCCCTCAGAGGGACTTGGACAGCATGGCAGTGGCTAATAGTCAGCCTGCTGTGTTTGCACAGGAGCACAGTCTGAAATCTGTCATGGCCTCTGTTTATACTTAGGCACTGCACTCGTGTCTCACCCTGCTGACAAGTGTGGGCCTCAGTCTGGTGTAGTGACGTTATGTTCGCAAATGATCCGATTCTTTTCAGCGACTCTGGTACCAGCAAACTTGGTGAGAGCTGTTCTTTTTAGAACAGTAACCTAACAGTAACCCCCACACTCTAACACGCCAATGGGGAAACTCTAACACTCAGCTGACCAATGGTGTAACTTCATCACTCAGCAAGTCACTCAGTCACTTAGTCAGTCAGTCATTCATACAGTCAGGGTCCCTTCAAAGAGCCACAATTCCCATCACTATCTGTGAGCCTGCTCCTTTAGTGTGGTTTTTTTTTAAAACTATAATAGTGTTTCTGTGGTGTCATTGTTCTTTAATGGGTGAAGTTCTAATTTAGCCTGATATAAACACCTAAAATATTTCAGGGACGTTTTATTTTAGTCATATTAGTCAAGAGAAAACACAGTACCACTCTGTAAAAAGTGATTTCAGCAACTATCATCTGTCCAGCTCTGTACCTCCAAATTTAAGTATAACTATAAGATATAGTATAACTATATTTATACTATATTAACTATATTTAAATTTTAATTAGAAAATTTGTATTAAGTCCCAACTTGTTGCATTTTGGTGTATATCATGGACATTCAACATTGTGTTTTTTAAAAAGAAAAATAGTTTGTTTAATTATTTGCTGGGATTCCAGTAAGTGGGAGTGGAAGGCAGGATAAGTTTGGGGTGGGTAATGGAGTTTTTGTAGGGGCAGACTCTTTGTAATGTGTGTAGATATACACAGATCAGAGTACATATTCTTCCATATCTACTCAACATATAAATAAGCAACTGTTTGCTAATACACTTGCCATATCAGCCCTTTTCGGACGTGTGTGTTCAGATAATTAATAATATCATCAGAAAAAAATGTACTGTAATACTGTTTCCTTTTCAGTTCAACAATATTGTGAATTTTTGTTTCATGATCGTAATAAGTTTATGCATACAGTATATTTGCAATTTAGCCTATAAAACCACAGCACTTCAGTGACACTTTGTTACTTTTTTATCCAAAAAAAAACTCTCATAATGCCCCTTCAACAGAGTAAATGACAGCATCATGACGTCATATCAGCTTAAACTGTATGACATAGTTAGGGAGAAATCAAGATAACTACACTGACACCTCACTCATGACAGAAACACTTTTAAAATAGGTTCACATGAAAGCTGGATTTGAAATTTATTAAGTCCATACTGGAGAGGCTGTCTGAATCCAAACCTTTTTGACACAACAGATCAATAGGCCACAAATTGCTACAGGACGACGTGCAGAGTATAGGAAACCACCTGGAAACCTCAGGTTGCTCATAAGAAAATAAAATAAAGATAAGCCTGTTGTGGGTGATAGGGATCAAGAGAGTGGGTTGTAAAGCCACAGTAAAGTAGTAATAATAACAGTATAAATACAAATACATCTCAGCCATCTGAAGGTGGGGTTACTGCTGCACCCTTAGCACCCATGCTTCTTGCGGCCCTGGCTGAGCGACGTCTCAGTGTGGAAACTCCTCAGCACCAGCTGTGTCTTGTGTGTATGGCACATTAACAAACAGCTGTCAGCGACTTTCCTCATTACTCCCAATGGCTTTTCACAAGTTGCAGTGGACACAATAATTGTTAATCAGTGTAGTTGTTTTCTTTTACTTGAAAATTAATTTTGGGAGGTTGAGAGGTGTGTAATGGAGGTTCATGCAGTGCTCAATAATTGGGCGTTGCATCCCAATGTCCCCCCTTAACTTATGGGCCCAACCACATCAAGTTTATCAGATCATAATAGCTGCGTTCGTCTTTGACTGACTCGATGGTCGACATGAACTGCCAGTGACTGCAGGAGCGGAGTATTAAAAGTAACATAAAACATTTTAAGACACTCATTTACATCAGTCTTTTGACACACATGAAATAAAGTGTAGAGCACGTAGAGCAACACGTTTAGAGAGATAACATTTTCTTATTTCTTTCTGTTTTATTGAGAACCATAGACTTGAGCATACTGTCAAAAAAAATGAGGGCCATCATGTTGCCAGGAGGGCGAAAAGAAATGAAATCTGATCTAGGATAAAAAATATGACCTACAAGGGCATTATGTCTTTTACAATAACAAACCCCTGAACTAAACTGTTTTTATAGCTTTGTTGGTGGAAATGAAAACTGTAGTGTTGATGTCCATATGTAAAAAATGAGCTGCCAGAAAGAGGAGAATAAATTGCTCCCCTTTGGGAGAGATAACCATAGGAGATAACGGATCTGAAGTTCTTAGAATAAAAACATAGAACAGTTCATGCGTGTCAGTGAGGCCTTAAGCCAATCAGGACAAACTTCTGTCATCACAGAGGTGGTACCAAGTTGGTGTAGCCAGAGGAGAGCAACTGCACCGCCTGACTTAGAAAACTATAGCTGCCTTGCTCCAGTGAGTTTAAATGTCATGTGACATGGTGACATTCTGCAGAGCCGGCAAAAGTTGGACAAAATTTCTAACCAGCGTGTACACTGTATACTGTGCTCCCAAAAAATTAATGAATGCAATTTGAAGCGATCATTTTTGCAGGACCATAATATTGCTGTTTTAAGTCAAGTCTAATTTCCATTTGTGTTTGACATAATTGAAATCTTACAATATAAAGGGATTTTCCCTCTTAGTGTAAGGATGATTTTTTTTTTCACCATGTCAGCAGGCTTTGACAAACATATTGACACATAAGTCTTTGCTGCAGCCGGGGGAGAAGTGAAACAGATTAAATCCTGGCTAAGACGTTTTTTGTGGGTTTAACTGGACTCACATCCTGTTTAAGAATTTACAGTCAATTCTGTGGGTTACGAAACCTGTACCTGGCCCAGTGTAGCAGTGTCAGCAGTCTCAGTCACACAACTTCTTCTGGGGGTAGTTTTTAGACACACTGTGTTAGTGTCAAAGGTATAATGTAAAAAATGTAAATTATGTATCTGATGGGCTTCCTCTTTTCTTTCTCAGTGAGGTGAGGTAGATTGAATGCTGGATAGTGTGTATATAGACTACATACTTCCCAAAAGCAGCCCCTGAATACATAGAGAATCCGGACATTTTGTTACTGAGCGAACCTTATTTACTTAACATGAATTACAAAATGAGGCTTTGCTATTTTCTTTCTATATGAAAGGCAAACAGCATCACATGGGAAATGGCTCTCAGTGAGTGGAGTGCAGAGGAGCTTTCATGTCAGAAAAAGGATTCTGCTTAGTAATTCAGCACGTTCTTTGTTGTCGTCCAAGCTTTATACATGAATATGAATTAGTAGGAAAATAAAAAGAATTGTGATTTCATGTTGCAAATCTGAGTTTTGTGGTTTTACTTGCTACTAATATCAACATCATTCTGTGTGTATGTTTTCACACTGATGCACAACTATGAGGACAGTGCTTTTCTGAGTGGAAAAACTCGACTTTTGTCTTTCTTGAGATCAGAGTCTTTCTCCGCTGATAGGTTTGTCAGAGGTAAACTGACAGAAACGCGAGCTGCAGGATATTCACTCATCATTTCTCATTAACACCGCTCGTTTTGTTTTAATTAGCCGTTGTGACTGACACCTGTGTTACTGTGACACTGTATTCAGGCTTGTGTTATCCTCCTTCCCAGCTGCTGCTCGCCAATCATCCCAAAGTTGTCTGTTGTCTCTATCCCCCAGGAGAGAACCACATGTGGAAAGCGGCCTTCGCAGTTTGGTGACAGAAAGGGATAAATGTTTGATTATTTTAGTTTAATGACTTTGCCACACAGAAAATGTATAATGTGTCCATGGAAGGAGTGAAAATGTTATCTTTATGCTGGCCTTTATGTGAGTTGAAACGTTAGAAAAGTTTGTATTTCAGTATATTAAACAACAGTTTAGCTGGGTGGCTTTCAGCCTTTTTTCCAAACAACTCAAGTGAAATGTTGTTTTTAAATGCATAACAAAAAGCCACCACCTTAAGTAAATTATTGAAATAAGAAAAACTTGCGACAATGCTCTTTAAACACCATGAAAACACAAGTTCACTGAGGTATTGTAAAAATATCCATTTTTAAATATGTCACATTCTGTAAACTCAATACACGCAATAATTTTCTACATGAAGTAAAAATGATTTATTCAGTTCCTCTTTTGCTTGTGTCTGCGCCTGAATAGTACAAAGTGTGGTTTGAGGTTTGGTAGCTGCATCGCACGGACAATTATTTAGGTGCAGAAAACACCATGATTGTTGTATGATTAATGTTATGCATAAGTTACATAACATTAATCATACAACAATCATACTTTAGTTATTTTATCCGCTTTTTGTTTTTATATGATCAAAATGTTTGTCTCCTTGATGGAGTCTTAAGTAAGAGCAACCAACATACCAAACATAAAAAACAATTATACAGGCCTGCACACAGATGTAAACATTCATTTTCAGATATTCACATACTTTGTATTTATATGTTTGTGCCCATTAAGGCTGCCCCTGACCAAAGAGTTTCCTCGTTGACTGGAAGTCATTAGTTCAAGCCATTAGTTAACTATTTGTCATACATTTATGATAATGATTTAATTTATTTAAATATATTTTTGGGGGGCATCAGGAATCCAGGAGTCCAGGGCTGAGAAATAATGTTGTAAGTAACATTGCTAACTCTGCTGCGTTACAGAAAATTGCCAAACCGTAATACTGAGCCTCTATGAGTTTAAATAAAGTTCATGAACGATGCAAGCTGCGTGTCAGCAACACCGGTAAACGCGGTAATGATTCTATATGTGTTGGAACAACCAGTAAGGACAAAGCTAGAGCAATTGGCCATGCTAATGCTTACATGTTTCAAATGATAGGCCATATTTGGGGTCGGCGAATTATAGGTCAGTGTTTGCCTTGAGAGTTTGCATGTCCTGGGGTCTTCCTTTACCCTCTCAACCTTCCCTCTGGCTGCTAAAAATGGTTAAGAATGAGGTTTTGTTTTATTTTATTTGACGTTACATTTCTTGGTTGTTTTTGAAGATTATATTTTAATCAGATGAAGGGTTTTAGTCACCAGACGTCTGGATCTTAAATTATCACATAAGCAAGCTGAGCAAACGTTATCTGCAGCTCAGCTCACAGCCCCTCCAAGATCTCCTGTCTCCACCGAACAGCATCAGAAAACACTGATTTCTAATGTGAACATATACAGATTGTGAAACTGTGAAAACTAAAATAAATTAAGATAAAAGGTTTAGCTGATCTGCAATTTTTCAGCTCTACATGACATTGTAAATATATACTGTATATATTTCATCAAAATATGGTAGGTGTTGAACATAATATCCGTTTAGCTGATCAGATGTTCAAAAGGTCTCCACTGAACTCCAACCTGTCTCGAGGAGTTCCTCCAGTGAGCCTGACCCAGAGCTTGAGAAGCCGCCCTCCTCAAGCCTGTTTTCATTCAGTTGACTGACCAAGAGGTCTCTCTGTGTTTTCAAGACGTTATATTCCCTCACTATACTCCTCAGCAAGTTGTTGCAGCAGGAACATGCCTGGATTGTGTTCTCTTGAAACTGATCAGTCTGGCACAGTTCTGCTATCATGGAGGGATTGAAAGGAAGCTGTTCTGCATCTTCTTTTGAATACACTGGAAAAACAAAGAAATTGCAGGTTTTAGTTCGCTAAACACTCTGCTCAGGAAACACATAGTATTACAGCTTGAGTTGCCAGTGTGCTAGGGTGTGTGTATTGTGAGGAAAAAATATGGTGCACAACTTACAGGCAAGGCGCAGCGAGATATTAAGAGTGGCCTGTATGACACACAACACTGCTAAAGTTACAATCCCGATTCTGAGGAGTCCTCTCTCTGTGGGTGTCACACATACACATCGTTCTGTAATCCATGACAATGACACTGCTATTAAACCTCTAAATTCTGATCACACATTGATGTAACATGATTGGTCTTTCAATGTCGCCTGATGCTTCATCATTCTAATATTAAATTATCAAGACACTGAAGCAGCGAGAGTAAATTTCACAGAAAACATAAGAAACAATCATTGATGTAATTCCTGAAGAACAAACGATATTTAGCCGTATCCCTCAGCTGGATTTCTTAATGAAGTATTCTTTTTTAGTTTCTATTAACTTACTGCTCTTACCTGCTGGTTGAGTGTTACCACTGTTTGTTTCAGATCCCTGAAGCTCATGTACATTGGTGAAGTCAGAGAGCTCATACTCTTGTGCCATGATGATCTACTGTGAGAGAGTTTTGCCTTAAATTCAGTCTGTACTGTCGATGCTCTGTACTTCTGCTCTGCTAGTTTTTCAGCATATGTTTCAAATAAAGGAAGTTGGTCGATTTGAGGAAATGGTATTTTTTTTATAAGTCAGCATCATAAATTACTAAATTTAGATAGAAATGTATAATGGTATAGTTACTGTAAGTACTGCGTTTGTTCACTCACCGTTCTGTATATAGAAATACTTATTATTGGGTCCATCTGATTTACAACCATTTCAATAAAATTGTAAACATCTCATCAAACCTACATTTAAAATGCTTGAAATCTTCCTGCAGTTCTGAATGTCACAAACTGAAAACAGAACCGGTTTATTAAAGTCCAGGTTGGTCAAATCTTGTGGTAAATTGATCAGCAGCACAGAACATTTAATTTAGTCTGGGGCTGCGATCAATGTTGTGACCCAACAGCAGTCTGTCTGCTGAGTACAATTTGTGTTTGAATCAGTTAAAATGAGCCTTTCACTTCAAATGTGAAATGTTTATTGCATGTTTTTGACATGCAGGTCACATCGTTTATGTCTTGGCAGAGTTAATACTCCTCCTGTTTGTTTATTTCCCACTAGTGGCAGGTAGAAATACGGAATAATTGGTCAGTCATTCGGTTAGTTTGTCTGTGTGGACTTCGATTTTGTCAACAAGTACTGAGCAGATTTTTAGGAAATTTGGTATGGATGTCCAGTTTCCCAGGAGAAGGGTTCCTAATCCCACCATCATCTCAAAAATGTCCACATTTACACAAGAATTATCTAATAATCAAGGCAAATCAAATGGGCAGATTGCCATGAAATTTAATGCAAACTCTTCCCAGATTGGACACTCGGTAGGCTTTCCTCCAGTCTCACCCTCAGGTCAAAATGTCAGCATTTTACATCAGATATTTATTATGTTATTGGCATTTTGTTATTTATACCATTAGTAGGAATAACAACTGAATTTAAAAGAGATGTTTTATGAATAGATAACACAGTCAGTCTCAATCTCTTTTGTTTTTATCTGACCACAAGACCTCACTGTCATCACAGGCAACGCAGCAGGGAAAGTATCATGGCATGATGAGTCGAGCCCAGACATGCTTCAGCAGCTACGTCACCACATGCTTCCTCCATTGCTTGTATAAAAGAGGTATGGACTCATGGGGAATGCATTCATATACCTTCTAAAAAAAACAAGACTGAAATGGAGGCCCTGCCTTTGGCCCTTTTATTCCTCAAACCTTGATTGCTAACTGAAAAGCAACAGGTGTTTGCCCATGTGAGTCAGTGGTGTAATTGGCAGGTTGAATTTAGCAGATTGAATGGAAGTGATTTACATGTGAACGCACAGAGATTCTTTCGGTGAAGACTGTGCCAAAAGGTAGATCTCAGAAGAGGTTTGGTCATTATGTCTCAAATTCCAGTGTTGGCGTACACAATTGACAAAGCTGTAGGTGGTGTTATTCTGTACAAAATACAGCCATGATCCCAAAGCACTGGAAAATGTTCATCTCATAGACACTTTTAAATCTACTAACTCACATAAATGTGAAAATAATTTAGTTGTATAATATTGTCATGAAACATTGCTCTGTTTTTCCCTAATCCAGCATCTAAAGAGGTGGAAAAACCTCTTGTACTGTATCGATATTCAGATATTATGACAAAAATGGACTTCTTGAAAACAATCATCTGAGCACTACAAATTTAGAGACTTTCCATAAAAATGAACTATGTGCTGAAGGATCACAACAAACTGAACTGAAACAAAAAGTTGGAAACAACATAGATATTATATGTTTCAAGTAAACAGAATAATTAAATGTGATGAGTCTTACGACACAGTACTGCGCATTCAGAGCCTATTCACAATTTATTACTTGTGTGCACACTTTTCTCTGCTTTTTCAACAAGAAGATGAAATCACAGGGAACACTGACAATAGAACATTTAGCGACAGGTACCAAACAACACATGCAGGGTGTGATTAAAGGGAGAATGCAAGCACATGGAAACGGCTGTCAAGCTTACGGTTGAGATGAAACCATGAACATGTGAATTACATGTGTGATAAGGCTCATACATAAACTGGTGCCTGTTCAGCTTACATTTATGTATGAACTCTGATCCACCCAGTTTAATATTTTCCCTAGAGGGTGAAATTCCAGGGGAAGAAGATGTTAATACCTGTCACCTGAGCAGGCTGCCACAATCAAAGCAAAACTTTATCAGTTCAAATTAAAGCTTCAGTGGTGCAAATGATACAAATAGTGACAATACTGTACCGCTCCCATATCCTAACAACCACAGGGGAACCGTACATGATAGAGTTGTGGAGATGGGTGAAATTAATGGGTGTGTTCGGCTGCAGAGGAGCTGCTTCATGACACCGAGGTGGATTGCAGGGTGCAACAGTGCATTCTAGTGGTCAGCAGGAAAATCACAGGAAGTGCTGGAGAAGTGTGTTCTGGCTAAAATATTTTTGTGGGGCTCTCACTGGCGGTTCGCATAATAGAAAATATTTTTAAAACTGATCTAAAATTCTGCAAATGATCTTGATGTGTAGCAGCACAGTGTCCTGAGGCGTTCTCATTTCTGATGCTCTCCAGGTTGAGATAAAGCTTGTTTAAGACCGCCTATTGCCTTTTTGATGCAGGGAGGCCCAAATTATTTATACCAGATTACTTGATAATGCTTCACCAATGCTGCTGAACCACACTGGCAAAACTAATTGATAATGCTGGCGGTGTAGTGCTCTTCCACAAGTGAAGCTCATGAAAAGAGACTACAAAAAACTGAGATGAGATTTGGGCTGTGTGGTTTAGAAGATATGAGTATATTGTATACACACGCGCAGTATTTATAGCTGCGTCCATCCATGCTGAAAAAACAATCCCAAACTCAGAGGCAGAGGCCCACACATACCTGCACACATGCTCACTGCACAAATTCACGAGAAAACACTCAGCCATTCATGCACTGAGCCCCTCTCACAGTATTCCATATCATGCACCTGTGCACACACATTCACATTAAATTACATGAATTCAGATGCACTCATGCAGGGACACACACACAAACACCCAGCTGCATTCATACAGGTATTTGTGTGTGTGTGTGTGTGTGTGTGTGTGTGTGTGCGTGTGTGTGTGTGTGTGTGTGTGTGTGCGTGTGCATGCACATGTGAGAGCTCACTTTCAAAACAATACATAAATCATGGAAACAATGGCAGCAGTCAGTGGTGTGCATGTGGATGCACCCCTGAGTGCCTACAGTACACTGCCAGCAGGTCATGATGATGTCACTCTGCCGGCAGTGAACCACCTATCACTGAAGATGTTTATTCTTAGAGGGGTTACATTTAGCCAGGCTAGCAGCTTGGTTCTAGGGCTGGTAATGTTTGTTGGTCAACTTACCACTTTGGTCGAAACTGAAATATCTCAGTACTTATTAAATGGCTTTCCATGAATTTGAAAAAACCTTTATTGGAGTTTCTTGACGTCAAAGTCCACAATTATTATAACACTGCTGTGTGTTGCTGAGGGTTTCTATGTTGTTGTTGTTGTTTTCTGTTTCCTTTTTTATTTTTTCTCTTATCTGATGTGTTTCATTGTTTAAATTCAGTATTGTTGTCGTCTGTTTATATGTGTGAAATACATGTAAAACTAAATAAAAGTTATTGTTTAGAAAAACTGTATTTCCATGGCATTTTGGTCAGACCTTCATGCTCCCCAGAGGATGAATGACAATGGCTTTGGTGATAGTCTTAGTTTTCCACTGGTGCCACTTACAGATGCGACATCTAGTTGATGAATTGGCACATTTTCTACAGACATTCATGAGATTTCCAGTGTGTCTTGATGACTTTGGAGATTCCCTAACTTAAATGCTAGTGACATTGCCATTAAATGTAGTACATGCATTTTTTTTTATGTAACTCCATCATCATGTTGAAATTTTAATTCACAATACTTTGGTTTATGATTAAATGCCTAAAAAACGAATTACATTCCCAGTATCCCCAGCTTCACTTTCAGTTTAGTGCTAATTAGCAAATGTTAGCATGCTAAGATGATAAACTAAGATGGTGGGCATTGTAAACATTACACCTGCTTAACATCAGCATGTTAGCATTGTATCTATGTTAGTGTGTTGTTGTTAGTATTTAGCTTAAAGCATCGCTGTACCTAAACACAGCTTCACAGAGCCACCAGCATGGCTGTAGACTCCTGTTGACACTGCTGCTCTGATCGTGAGCTACACATTAACATTTCCTCTGACACTGACCCAGCTTAGAGGACTTTCACACATTTGTTTTTTTACACTTTGAACTTTTCAAAATTTCTCTTGTATTGTCAGTGTATTTAAAGTATTATTAAAAGGTCTCTCCAACTGTTATTTAAGATTCTTGACAGCCAGCAACATCTTTTTTGCATAATGTCACCTAGTGTTGCAGTGCTCATTCTGAATGCAGAAGCCTTGCATATGTCGTGTCATGGTCTGTTCCCCCCTAGAACAGTGCTTCTCTCTCCTTTGGATGGTTAGATTAGGGATTAGTTGGGTTAGCGTATGGTTAGGCATCATAGAGACAAGTGGTCTGGGTTATGCAATCAGAGGTCAGGCATCAGGTGAGGAGGAAACAATGTGTCTGATTGTTGTCTGTTATGTCTGGGCGGTGGGGGATGGAAAAGGAGAGTGGTGGAAAAGGACGAACAGCAAGTTAGACAAGTTAGAGAGAGACGGAGAGAAAGTGTGTGTTTGGACCAGATGCACAGCAAATCTGTTTATTCTGCACAATTTGGCATCAAACACAACAGACTGCTGAGTGCCTGCTACTGCTTATGGTGCCCCATTAAAATGGAATTTATTGCTGCCTTAAGAGCAAGCCCGAATTACACATTTTTCCTTCTCTGCTCCCTCTTCCTCCCCCTCTCTCTATCTCTAACCCTCTCTCATTTGCACTTTTTCTTTTTCTCCAGTTGTGGCGATGGTAGTGGTGTGGGTTTTTTTTTTTTTCCAACTTCTAGCAGCAACTGTCAGACAAGTCATCACAATGGCTCATTACAGACCAGGTATGTTAAGTACGCCTACCTACCTGTCAGCCATCGCTGTCATCTCCTCTGTCACCTGTGAGTGGCGCTGGAACAGCAAACTGACGATAGCCTGCGCTGTCCACGAACATTGCGGCATCTCATGCAACTATCATTCAGTAAACACTGCACCTCACACAAGGTAAACAATTTTTAGCATTTCATTCCCCTTCACATTCCCCTCAGAGGCCAGTCGTTGGTTGAAAGGTGTGTCATCTGAACATGAGAAGACATTCTTGTCATTTGCAGGCGGCTTATGTTATGTGGCTATTTTTAGAGGACGGTTTAATGTCACATTTGTGCATCCAGATGACAGTGACTGATATATTGTAATAATAATAAGTCTCTGCTTAAGTTTTAGGACATATAACATCATCAGCCTGACAACCTGTTACCCATTTAGTTTACACTCATAACCAGACTTTGAACTTATGCTGTAAAGAGAGCGTGAACCCGGGGCCCACATCTCGCTCCATAAATCTCCTCAGCCAATGATAAATTCATATTTAATGACCATGGCCATCGTCTGGGAAGGAGGAGCATTCTTTCATTATTGCCTCTTTCCCCTGCTGCTTGGTCGAGATAATTGATTTCTCTGTGGTAACAAGGTATCGACCACGCATGGTAGCCGGCTAAGACGGCGGTTCGATTCAAAGGAGGGCGCAGAGGGGAGAGAGAGAAAAAAAAGAAGGAACGAGGGATGAAGCCAAAAAGGAGAGGGCAAGAGCATTAAAAGCCAGGAAGCCAGTTAAAAAAAAAAAAAAAACTCACAGGTGGGTGTAGATTGAACAATGACTCTTGTCTTGTTTTTCAGGGTTTTAAATGCAGAACATAGTTTGGTATTTCAGTGTTGTATGTTTAATTCACCAAATGGAAAGCATATTGATCACACAATCTGTCACATAATTCACTGAAAACGGTGTCAGAAACAAATCTGGAGGACCACTTTTCAAGCACATGCTTAGCCTGCTAAGGAAGCGGCGTGTTTATAAATTTGCAGCATTATACTTTTGTTCCCTAAACCTCACTAAGTGCTCCTTTTCCCCTGCCCATTTTTATGTGATTTGAGAGGCAAATGTGCACGATGCCTGGCCTGATCCACCAGTAAATCTTACAAACTAGTGAGCAGGTTCTGCAACATACAAATGCCTTCCAGCAAGTGGCTAAATATGTAAAACAGTGTATTTTATGTAATAAAATGTACATAGACAAGTAGGCAAACAAGGACATGCAAAAACCATTTGTCTAGTAGTTACATGGCTTTTTGCTTTAACAAACGTATTGATTAGATACATGATCATATGGGTTGATTTGACTGGCAGTTATTGAGTCGACATCTCTGAGGTGCTGCCATTATTGGCCCTGACCTCAAACAGGCAGCGCTGCAGACACCCGCTACATGCTGCATAGCAAGAGCTTGACATGTATAGACTGTATTTTCAATCGGTCAATACCAGCAATAACTGAACCTTATGAATTGAATAATGTATTGATTATATTCAGCTTCCAGAGATGGTAATAGTACTGTTATTTCCTTTGGCATCACTGCTTGCAGTTCACTGTATAAATAGAGGAATTAAATAGTGCTGTTGTTGTTGTGTGTTTACCAGCTTACATTGTAATTTATTTAAGAGCTCTTAATTGGACTAGTTACTCATTTGGCCCTCATTGGTCCCACAGCAGAGTGGAGCTCTATCACGGCACACTGGGGCATGCTGGAATATGGAGCTACAGAGACACACTGTACACAGCCAGCTGTTTGATGTCTGCAGCCGCCGAGCGTATGCTGCACCGTACAGCATAAACACACAATCCCCCGATGAGAGGACAGATCGACACACAGGAGACCTTATTCCAGGCTAATGAACTATTAATGTTGATTTGAAATTCAAACATTTTTGGAGGGTCTTCTCCGCAGTCATTCACGGGTCCGTGCGTGTGCGTGTGTGCGTGTGTGCGTGCGTGCGTGTTCGCGCGAAAGAAAGGAAGCGAGAACTAATTTGGATGAACTCTGCACACCATATTTTCCTTTCTCCCCCAAACAGCTGGGCTTAGATCTCAAAGGGCCTAATGTGGTGCTGAAGCTCTGTATTGAATGAGGCCATATAAAATGTATGTCAATGGGTTCAGCCCAAGTTTAGCTCTTTCCACAGTAACTGTTAATGGAATAACTATAAGATGTATAAATGATCCCTGCTTTAATTCATAATAATGTTGGACCTCATCGCCTGCCCACTCAGCCCAATAGATTATGGAAATAGCTGTAATGACTATTGGAACAATGAGCCAAATTGCATTATCATTCAGTGCCATGTCGGCTTTGGAATAACTGGCGTTGTGCTTTTGCTCTTTCACTGAAGATCTTGAATAATAATGGCCAACATTCAATTTAGACCAGGAAAATGAAGATGAAGAGTGTTAAACATGAATGAATGTTTTAGGCTACATGAATACAGCATTGACATACTCACAGTTAATAGGATAACACTAATCCATAGCCAGGTGTAAGGGGGCTTTTTTTTTTTTTTTAAGTTGAATTGCTGGTAACAAAACCAACACATCCTGTGTGTTTGCCTCACATTCTCGAGGGCCTCATTTCAGCAGGGTTCCTTACCCCCCCATGTCCATCTCATGCATGAACAACACCCACCAAGACAAAGGAACCAGTCTTTTGATGTTTTATTTTTAGCTCAACTATGGACTTTTGTGATCTTACTTGAGCCAAGACAAAGTAATGAATATTAACATTCAGTCCACAAGATCTTGAAAGTGAAAGTAACTACATCAGTTAAACAACGTATCATTAGAGAAACAGAATATATAAGGAATAAATGTACAAGAATGTATAAAAATACATAGAAAACAAAGCAGTGTTATAGTTGACTGACAACTTCAAACTATACACATTTTTTACTGGCAAGCAAAGAACAACTAGATTTGGTTTTAATGAGAATGTACTGTGAATCAGTTCAAACATTTTCCCCCAAATTAACAAATACTTGTAACAGTGTTGTCATCATGCTGAAATCTGAAGTTTCTGATAGTGACAGTGAGAGCAGCAGAGAGCAGACATATGCTCAGAGGAAAGGTTGCTTCTTGTGCATTACTGGTGATGTAACTGTACAAGAAAGCTACTGTGGATAATAATACTTGAAACAGTGACTGTGCATGCCAAATCAGTTTTCACATTCATAAATTAAAGAAGCTCCAGATTTTATTTTATGATCACCACACATGCAAGTCTATGGTTTGGGTGAGGGAAATTATCGACTCAAACTGTCCTAGGTTAGAGTAATAATTTACAGTATTTATTTGTTAATAATAAAAAAGGAGTGTCAGTAATTCTGATTGGTTATGTGCATAATATACAGTAGATACTCTTCATCGGTTAAGGTTTGCATATCAAAAGTGGTGCCACAGCAGCCTCTAGTGGTGTGCTTTCCCAAGTAGAAAATACTTTAACTCAGGTTGTTACATTTATACAGTGCAAAAAGCAGCATTAATCCCATTCATTATCAGTGTATACATTGCAGTATTTTTAAAGTATATAAGTCATGATTGTAATGTCAAACCACACAATCAACATACATATAAATCAAAATGTTAGATGAGGAAACCAGTGTCAGTTTCCAAGACAATGATGAGGAAACCAAAGTCAAAAGACAAAGAAACACTGGCCAATAACACGACTTCTTTTCTCTTTGTCCAATCCAACTGTGTATCCCACGTGTGCTTGTGCATCCCTGTTGCTGTGGTTACAACCACAGGCTCAAAGATGAATAAACACCATTGACTACACAGCTAATGAACATCAATGCCAAGTGTTAATAGAAAATGATGATCCTTGAATCCGTTTCAAATAGTTACAATCACATAGATGTGACCACAGTTTTGGTCAATACTAAAATCATTAGCAATCAAAGATATAAAAACAAAACACTCACATGCAGTAATCTTTTCAGTGAAAAAAATCTGGGTAGAAAGTCTTGGTTTAAAAAAAGAAAAAGAGATCAGTAATAAAGTTATTACATGTTAAAATTGCACAGTAGTTTCACCATGTGATTATGTGAATGTATATTCAGTTATTGCAGTAAGTAGGCCTAACCCCAAAGTACAATATGGGTGAGCTTTTGTCCTTCATTACTTCAGCTGTGGAGAAGCGAAGAAGTTGCCCTGACGGTTAGAGGCAGCCGTTGCTTTGCTCTTGCTCCCAAATCTAAGGATGGAGGGGTTGGTGGGGGCAGACAGTGACATTTTGAGCCTATTAATTGTAATTTTAGATAACAAAAAAGCAAGTACAACTGAAGATGAATGTTTTGAGGAAAACACAGGAATGCAGTCTTCATATGCGAGTTAGCTTCATTTGATTGTTGATGACTTCAGGTTGGATTTTTTAAGTTCAAAGCTTAAAATTGATCTGGAGCTCTTATTGGTAAACACATTCTTTAAGCTCATATATGCAAAAAGAAAAATAGCTAAGACTGGAAACAGGGAAACAGCTAGCCCAATTTTAAAAATCCACCTACCAGAATCTCTAAAGCTTCCAATTCCTTACAGTCTTCATGCTAAGCTATGCGCCTGCAGGCTTCATATTAAGTGCAACGACATCTTGCTTTGGGAAAGAAAGCAAATAAGTGCCAAACTTTCCCTTAAACATTTTTTTCTGAGGAATACTGTGATTTTTTCAAAATAGTTTTCTTCTAATGTAAGAGACCTACATGATATTTGTTTGTTTGTTGGTTTAAAAAAAAAAAAAAAAAAAAAAAAAAAAAAATCAACATTAAGACATACACTATAGTAGCTTTTATATTAATGGCCCTACACACCCTTGGTGCACTCACACAGGTGTTCTCACTTAGCTTGATTAGATCAGATTCTCAGAACTGTGTGGGTTTGGTCACTCTGTGCTTGAGTGACATTTTCTCTCACTCCTGTTAGTTTTCTTGCTCCTGTTAGGGCAGGTAAAATTATAGTGTGTATGAATGTGTATGCATTTTGATGGTCTTGGTGATTTCCAGTATCTCTACTGAACTTAATCCTGAGCAGAGGCTAATCAACCAGAATAAGTGATAACTCCCTGTGCAGGTGTGCAGGGCCTTTAACACCACTTTCTGTTCTATGAAAACAACCATTACTGGTTGATAACATAACCAGTTCAACACAGCCACGTAACTTATCACATTAGGTAAAGCACAGGTGTTAATGTAACATGTATGTATATGTAACATTAACGATGGCTCAGTTCTATTCAAGTGTCCCAGTAAGCCATGGCATTGACTTTGAGGCAGCATGAACAATACTGGGACCCTGAAACCAACGCAGCTAAAGGGAATTCAGCCGCTATTTTATTATTTACACCTGTGCTTTTTGTACATATCAAAATGTAATTTTGTGTATGTCTGTATGTATATGTATAGTGCAGTGTCTATGCAGTGTGTAATAAAATAATTATGATAACTCACACAAATAAGGATGAAATTCAGTTGATAATCCTCTTTAGAAAGGAAAAACTCAAAATGAGCTGTAGGAGAAATGTAACTCTTTTTTTAAGATAATGCTGAATAAAGTTTCTTTTGCAGGGGCTCACAAATTAATGCTGAGCAAGCACTATGAGTCCTGATCATAGTTTTTACTGTCCATATTGGAGACAGCTACCCAAGATAACTTTAATCCAAGTTAAACAAATCAATCATCATCTCCTCATCTTGCTCTCAAACAATAAAAAGGTAGCTGCAAAATATATTTACGTGATAATTTGATATATTATTGGCGACATATGAAGAACGCAGACCTGCTTTATTTCAGTTTGGTAAGTACAGAATGTGAAAGAGTGAGAGAGCTTACATGGTGGTGCTGGAGAGGGTCTGCATCATGCGCTGGGACAGCGAGCTAGAGGAAGGTGTTTTAGTCATCATCTGGTGCTCTGGGGTGGTCACTGGTCCCAGTATGCTCACTGCAGATAAATTAAAGATCAATACAGCCAATTCTGTTATTTATAAATCAAAGACACAATACAAAGGCTCAAAAATTTGAAAAAGTGATTTAAATTTCTTATTATGTCGTTCTCACTACTGAGAAACATGTCTTCTAAAGTAGAATAAAACACGTTGTCTTAATGTTATGCTATTCATTTTGGAATTACTTTCATCATGTTTATAGCTTTCAGTGATTTACCTCTGTGGTCTAGAGTATCAAACTGGTGAGCATTGTCCATGGCTGTATTATCTGGATGGGCAAACTGGCTCCAGTAGCTTGCTGGAATACTGAGCAAGCGCTCTACCACCTGGATAGACAGAGCCAATGTGATCTTTAGTAAAAACTATTCCAAAGAACAAAAACATTGTTGTCAGAGTGAACAAAGACATGTGCAGCCATATACAGTTGAGACTGAAAAATGATGTGCCACTTTCTGAATATAATGGAGAACCATGGCACTTATTCTTTATTCTCATTCTCTTTACCTTTGGTTGTCTATTTGTGTCATGCAGGATGGTCATAGGGTCTGGGTCGGGAACAGCATGACCCACAAGGGTTGGGCCAAAGACCCTGGCCAGGTTGTTCACATCCATTTTGGTATCCACACTCTGAGACACCCTGAGGAAAGGATAGGAGCGGGAAATGAAATTTCACACTGTCCTTTGAACCATGCAAGCTGACCTGCACTGCAGGTTACAACATGCTCCATTCTGGTGTAAACACTGGCTAAACAAAAGCCTTTTTGAAATGTAGTGAAAATTACTTTTGCAGATGAATCATCAGGCAGGCCAGAGTGTCTCGGTTGGGTTGAGGCAGCTCACCAATGGTCTGGTACATCATGGCCAGACTGTTGTCATCATCCTGGATTTCTACAAAAACATTTACACCAGTGATTTAATATGCCTGTGTATGGCTGTTCCCTCTATCCAAAAGAGGTACTTTAAATCACTCAATTTAAATACTTATTCTTAATAACAATACAAAGACCCTGAGACGGATAAAGAACATTGCAGATACAGCAGTCCTCTGTAAGTGATTCTGCAGGTCTCAAACTCACCCGCTGCTGCCATGAAGGCTTTGTTGAGGTGGAAGGTGAGCAGTGGCTCTGGAAGGTTTCTGAGGAAGTCTTTGAGGACACCTGTAATAACGTTGATGTCTTCTACTTTGTTAAGTGCAGGTAGAGTCTTTCCTCTAATCAGCTTTTCCTTCAGCTCTTTCACCACGCGATCATGGCCAGAGACTCTGTACAGGCCAACCTGCCGCAAGGAAAAGATAAAAGAAACCAACTCCATTATTGTCTGCCTGTGATACTGTATTACTACTGAATGAGATAACTACTTAGAGAAGGAATTATCGATTGTAATTGCTCAAGGGAAAGGATCAGAGTATTAACATGAAGGTGAAGGTGACTTTAATAAAGTCTTGTCTTACCTCATGTAGGCCTCTGTGCTCAATCTCCTTAATGCAGTAGATAACCAAAGCTGGGATCTTTGGGGAGGTGACTGGAGCAAAGTCAGCCAGTGTGGCCTAGACCGGGAACACATCATTTTATGTGGGTAACATGAAAGTAATAGAAAATTATGGAGTGGAAACGTGTCTTAAAGAAATGAGAAAAACGTACCTCTGTGTTTTTGATGGGAGTGCTAACAGCTGCGGGATTACAGGGCAGGGGACAGCGCTCACGACACTCAGGATGGGTCACAATCCTGCAATCCTGGCAGCGGAGGTACATCTTTCCAAACTTCGTTCTTCTTCCACAAGGAGCACAGAATTCAGACTTGATCACCTTAGTGATCGAGGGAACAGAGAGCCCAGTGTGAGAAGATTGCATGTCAACAAGGAGAACCAGCTTACAGTGCTGATGCAGGTAGATATGCAGTCTAAATAAGCTAACTTTTAGAATAATAAGTATACAGTCTTACTGTCTTGGGGATGAAGTGGTGCTTCTTTCCTCCTCCATTGGCTTTAGGGGTTCGCAGCTGGGCTTGGAAGTCAGAGACTGGTGTGCTGGGAGCCTCACTCGCAGTCTCAGATTGGTCAGTAGTGGTTGTATCACCCCATGCTGGAGCAACTGTAGATAATCACACGTCAGTCAAATCTCAAAGACAATGGAAAACTCAATATACAAAATAAAATTTTAATTTAAAAACACACATTGTTTTACACTCAGAATCATTGTTATTTTTGTTGTTAGGTCCCATGATCAAGATAAAGAAACAGAAGATCAACAAGCTTCTCACCACTCCTCTTTCTGCTACGTGTCCAGTAAGGCACAGTCTCAATGGTGGAGACCGCTTCGACAGCACCACCATTTACAGGCACAGTGATGGTAGTTTTGGCCACGATAGACTCATTCATCTAAATCATATAAAGAAAGATATTAATGCTCCTTTCAGCAAATTGATGTACATTTAAGTTGGTTTAGAAAAAAAAAAATTTTGACTTTTACTTTCTCTTGGTAGCCATTTTATCTTTGTTATGTTTATATTTTTTACAGGCACACACTGCTATAGGACATTTAGCTGCAGAGGTCAGCATTACCCTCTCTGATGTGCGTCCAGTGGAGCGAGGTTTCTTCATGGCCTGTGGAGGAACCTCACAGAGTTTTCTGGATGAACGCTGTGGATTAAAAGGTAACTTTTGAAAAACACTTTCTCATGGATTGGTAAATGAAAAATTATACAAGAAATGGCGAGACAAGCTTGTGCTGCTGAATACAAAACATGACTGGAACCCATAACTACCTTTACCCGTAACCTGAATCAAATGATGAAAATTACCTTATCACTAATGCAAGCAAAAAAAATTTGAGGTGAGGCATCACTCACTCGTTTCTGCCGTTTCCGTAATCTCACAGTCTTCATCACAGAGGAATCCCAGTCCTACAGGAAAAGTAGAGAGAAAAACAATAGTACTGAAAAAGTCAAGTCATTATTGGTGTCCCTTACTAAACACTGTTGTCCCACTATTGGACCCTCAAATAAAAGGTTCGCCTAAAATATACAATAAATCTCCTAAGAAAACAGATCAGTATACCAGAGAGTCGTCCGTTTGGTCAAAGCTGATGTCTGACAGCAAAGAAGCTGATTCATCGATGGTGGTTAACCTGTAAAATAGATTAAAGTCAGCATTAATCTTTGTCTGAAGTACTTTTTGTGTCCATGGCTATTTGAATCACACAATGCTCTGTTGAATTATAAAAGCTTTAATATAGAAACTAATATTTCACATATTGAATTCTATCCTCTGCAGTGCACAGTATGTATGCTGCACCTATATACGGTACAACACAGTATACAGGTAGTGTATGAACTAGCCAAATGAAGTGCTACAGTCTAGTACCCATAATATAACTGAAAACTCAAAAGACAAGACATCGTGGTTAGTTGAATACCTAAAATCATTATTACTGTCTTACTTATAATTAAAAAAACAAAACAAGAAAAAAAAAACACTGTAAAAGATAATTTTGCGTCTCCAGAAATTTCAGAACCAGATTAGGACGTTTCTGACCTTCGGCTAGAGTTGAGGTTGCCATTAGCAGCCTGTGCTGCCTGGGAGTGCGCACTAAGGAAGGCCAGGGCGGACCGCTGCTCCTCGCTCAGGTGGACACTGTTGTTCTCTGAAATGAGCAGTTCCCGGATCAGCTGTAACTGACGTTCCTGTTACACCCACAAACCAGCAGGTAGACAGGAACAGACAAACACAAACAGACACATCCACAGGTAAGCATTATGTTGTTAGAATGAAGACATGAAGTTTAAAAAATTATCTATGGAGTGAGCTTTACTAAGAAACATGACATTTGCATTATTTAAAGATTAATAATCTAGCTTCTCTACATTTCTATTGGTATATAAAGTGTCTCATACACAATAATGCAAGTAAATGAGAGGCTGTCTAACCCATAAACACTGCTGCACTAACCAGCTTCTCATAGACTGTCTCAGCCTTCTGCCGCCGGCGGATCTCCACATCCACCTGGTTGCGAGCATGCTTTAGTTTGACCTCCAGGGCTCCCCTCTCAGTCTCTGCTTTAGCCAGCATCTCTTTACAAGAAACCAGCTCATCGCCTGCCCGCAGCCACTTCTTACGGCACTCCTCAAAGTTCAGTGCCATCTGGAGGAACTCTGAATAAGACAATGAAAGAAAAAAAAAATGTTATATTGCTGCTGTGCATCATATACTATGTTTCCTTGTGGTGGTGATGTGTATTAGGTCTCCAAAATGCTTTCATTACAGTGGCAATGATGCAATTAACCACAAGACAGAGCACATAAGCACAAGAGTGCTCTGCTGTAAAGTGAGCAAATGAGTAACAGTGCATTCCTGTTATTTAAAATGGAAATGAATGGCATTATCTGGACTATTGACATGGAAATGTTTACTACCCTCAGGCCCTGTCAGACTTAACTCACTAAAACAGAGGCTTTACACTCAGCACTGCTTCTGCATTGTGGTTAATAATTCATTGCACCAAATAACACAGTGGAAATGCAACACGCATCTAGCTTATACCAAGAACAGCACCATGCCACAGCAGACTAGTGTAACTACACTAACGCCTACACAAGCACTTAAACGCCATTATTGTTTCACAGACTGGCTGGGGGAGAGAGGTGGCAAATACCAAAACTCAGTGTGGAAATAACTTACGTGGTTCAATGCCCTCATTCAGACCGTCCACCTGGGCTCTGAGACTCTGGAACTGGTTGTACAGGTTCAGCACTGGCGACTCCATCGTGTCTCACTGCAGCTGGGTTAGCTACAGTCAGATTTGGTTAGATTAGAAGGGAGAACATATGCATGATGATGCTAATTTTACTCATTGTTACTTTGGTGGCTTTTTACATTGTGGTTAGCACTGAATGAGCAGTAAAGCTACACTTCATGTCGGTAGGTTAGCCCTCAAACAGACGAAACGATAACTACATTATAGTACGAACAAACAACGTCACTTATTTTAATGTTACTCATGTTTTAGGCATAAAGTTATCTCAATTCAAACTAACCTCGCCTGTTTTAACGTTTATGCGCCTGTAATGAAGCTGTCGGCACGATAAGCATGCTACTGTTGACATAACCTCATATCGTTACGTTGGACAGAAGGAAAAAAAACCTAACAAAACACTTACTTGTACAATATTTGTCCAGGGAAAGTGTGTCGGATATGTATTCTAACACCGTCCGATGTTAAAAGCAGAGTTTAGGTGGTTTATTCCCACTCCAGCAGGAGCAGCCGCCGCTGAGCCACACCTGTCTGATTAAGTTTGCACATTCTTCTTCAAAGTTCAAAATCAGCGCCGGTTTTCTTCTTCGCGGAGCAATGTGACGGAAGCCCGGACGCTCTATCGCCCCCACACACCCTGAGCTATAACTGCAGCGGGGCAAGCACCCCCCCTCAAGTAACTGAGGGGGTTAGAAGTGTCTCAGCATAAAGAAGTCATGTGTGTAATATTCAAGACACATTTATTATATGACATTATGTATAATTATCACAGATGGCCTCAGGAGTCTTAGAAATACCCATAGCAAGCAGCATTAGCTGAAATTTCACTGTACAGTATGAACAGAAATGAATGCAATATTTTATAAATTGATATATTACTCAGTCAATAAGTAGGTCAATTAAAAAAAATGTGTAGATTTTATGTAATCTTGCATGCATACATTTTTTTAAGTTGACTTACTGAGTATCGTATTCTATTATATATTGTCCAATTTATTACGAGTTGAAGAACTGCATTTTTTTTAATGAAACACTGATTTGATTAACATTAATTCATTCAAAACAAAACTGTGTTAATCTCTCTATTGTCTAATTCATTGTCAATTAATGAACCGTTATATAAATATTAAAAGACTGTGAAGGTCTTCCATACATTACATTATGGATGACCTCCCTAATACATTGATACTTTGTAATAACCCAGTGTATTTCTTCATCTCTTGTATGGAAAGACAGCACAACTGTGCAGTTGATGACCACTCACTGGTTCAAATTCGGTGTCTGTAGCTTAATTAATGTATGGCTGGAGGTTTTTGACCTGAGAGTTGTGCTTAATGACACTTTCTTTCAAATATCTGCTCCCAACTTATTAATTGTGCACAGTAACCCTGTTAGTAATATAGAATTTTTTTTTTTCACACAATAAATAAAAAGGCAGTTTTGCTTGAGGGGAGTCAGGCCAGTATCTGTACCTCCTGCTCTGCTTACTGTGTATCGAAGTATGCAGCACAGCACAACAGTCCAGTCTGTGTGAAATGATAAAATCCTTTGAAACAGTCAGTGACTGTGTCCTGTTGTTGTGGGCCTGGCACATGGGATGCACGCAACAGCATCATTAATCAGCCACAGATGGCATATCTGGGTGTAGCAGCAGCTCTACTGTGCAACATTCAATGAGGGTCACACACACACACACACACACTAAATCAATTGCAAACTATATACATTCATGTGTCCATAGCACATTGGATTTTTTTTTAACAACTCAACAATAGACTCACCGATTCATGCCTGTATGATTTAGCATAATACTTGCTCCCATAACATTGTGTGTGTGTGTGTGTGTGTGTGTGTGTGTGTGTGTGTGTGTGTGTGTGTGTGTGTGTGCGTGTGCGTGTGCGTGCGTGTGTCCTTTGAATACAGCAGATCCATTAGTGTTGATTTGAGATAATAGGATCTGTCAGTCAATATGCGCTGTCTGTCTTTTTCAATTATTCATCGTTGTGTGTACATTTCCTCCAGTCACATATCATTTAACTGCCAGAATTCTCTTTTTACACCAATGACTGTTTGCCCTTTTTTAAGCAGAGTGGACTATTGCTGCTATCTGCAAGCATAATAAACCAAGCACTTCACCGGGAGAAAAATGGGAACAATTAAATTTGCAAAACAGAGCAGTTCCTTTCCAGAGACCTTTTTCCATTCACTGTTTTAAGTGCATGTTTGTAAGGAAGTACCAATTATAGGTCTTAATTTATTATTTATCTGATCAGACAAAATACTGTAAAAGGCACATTTCCACTTTGTCAAGTTTATTCAGACAGGCAACATAAATCAACTTACACCCTGACTATCATAAATCGTCTCACAATCATTAAGTGTTGCACACAACTAACTTGTTCTGTATTACCTGCACGTCTTCTTCCATTTATGTGCAGTGCTTACCTGAATAATGAGTTCACAGATTGTCAGTTGTTTGTCTAAAAGGTGCGTGGATATTGTAACAACAAGAATGCCAAAATTTCAGGAATGAAAAAAGTATCAGAAGGATCTCATGCACAGACGTTTCAGAGGAAGCACCTGCGGATTGTGCTGACTACAGGGTTAGTCAGTGGCACCACTGGAAAGGTAATGGATCCACGAACAGCCTCATGGGGAACACTTGGCAGATATACATCTACTTAGCAGGATGCATTGAAGCAGATCACGCCCTCTGTACATCCTCTGCATATCCTGTACACGAAGCAAAGTAAAGTTTAAAGGTCTGACAAAAACAAAACAAGCATTTTCTGATATGCATAGTTTCTGTGCGCTTAGATCATCATCAGTGCTGGAAAGTGCTTATCTATTGAACAGAAACAAAATCATCCATATCTGGCAATGTCGAGGGAGTGGACACAAGAACGTGAACACCTAAAAAATTGAATGCAATCCAATATATTATCCCAGCAATAAACATTTGTGAAGCTCAAAAAGTTACATTTTTGTCAGGTGCTTCATTTAATTAACTACTCATTTTGATGCTGTTATGTTGCTGATATGTAACCTCGTACGTTACATTACAGCTTTACTTAAGAGTTCAATGAACACCTCTCTTTGTTTCGACAAAAACTGAACTTTTCAAGCTTTACAAAGGTAGTATTTTTTTGTGGTAGTAGTGTGTTGGATTCCACTATGTTTTACAGGTGAACATATTTTGTGTCAACCCCCTATTGATTTTACAGACCGGCACCAAACATCGGTCTCAATAAAATGTTAACAGGTTTTAACAGGATGTTTTTACAAAATGGAATTTGACACCACTGGCAAAACTACTCTCATCATCTGTGAGAGGACGCCAGATGGATGTGTTAGCGCTAAGTGAGTCTGCAGGTATATGGAAAAGCTCTGACCAAGTGAGTACACTGAAAAGATAATGCGCATAGGTGCACTCCGAACATCCCATCAATTGAATTACAAGTAGAATCTCCCACTTAAAGAGTGTTTCCTGGAAAAGGCTTCCTCTTTCCTTCACTGTTCCAGGGCCCAAACATCTTCAACAACAACAACACTTTTATCTTCCATTTCTCGAAACCTGACACTTGGTAAACACTCTGCCCAAAAACCCCAAACACTTCCATGAGCGGTTTAGACAGCTCATAATTTCCAGTTTGAAAAATGGGAGGGAATTCTATAAAAATATTATTTTTATTGATTTAAGCTTGAGCAATATATCTTGTTGCTTAAAGGAAGTACAAGAACATTCAAACTAAAAGAGAATAAAACCGCTCCTGTCCACAGAATCCATTACTATTTATAAAGTGTAGATGTACAACTCTTATGTACTGATAATAACCTATTATTTTACATAGAAGTGAAATAAGCCCTGTAGTGTTCTCAAGGGAACAGCAAAAAAGAGTCAGGCAGTGCTCAAGGCTGAAGCTGATTCACAACACATTTGTAACAGTGTTGTTTCTCAGAGAAGAGCAGACAAAATAGGAAAATAAAAAGAAAGGAATTGACACTTTTGCATTGGCTCAGTATTAGTGGTTTCAACATGTGCTCTCATTTTACACTTATCTAAATTCTTCATCTTTAATAACTTCCTTTAAAGCCACCTGAAATGATTAAGAACAGAAATCATGAAATAAATAACTAAATTGTGAAAAAAAGATTGTTTGGCAATGGGGGGATTTCTTACAATTTGTTGTAACTGCATGAGGGATGGTGATTTCAAAGTAAGCTACAGTTCCTCTTGTTTTTCTGAAGTCACGAATAATGGTGCTATGCATGCAGAGAAGTGTGAGGAATTGCTGTATGGTAACTGGTCACTGATCCAGCTTTAGGATCCTTATGTCACACTCTCTCATTTTCTAATCTCAGTGAGAATAGTGTGAAAGTTCCTGGGTACAGCACGCAGCTGCTGAAAATAAATAAATGAAATTAAATGGAAATAGGCAACAATGTGGGCTGTCTGTGAGGGTCTTCACGAGCCTATGGTGCAAATAGGAATGACAATGATGAGAATGATAGCTACTGCAGTGGCAATGAGTGCAATCAGCTTGCAGATCTTGGCCCGGCGCTGGTCTGCCTCTTTACGCCTGAGCAGAGCATCGTAGCCTGGAGTGTAGATGTCATCCATCCAGAATTCCATGTTGTTGGGGTTAAGAGACTCCTGAGCCTGAGGAACATGTTGTTTACAGAGTTTTAAAGCAGATACAGCAGATATCTAACCTATTAAAACATTGTGAACTCTTTTCTACTATACATCACTAATCTGTGTCACTACTAGCTCTGCTTTCCTTGAGTCTGCAGGATGCATGTATGTTAGGCCAGTTATCCCCAGAAATAAAAAGCCTATCTTACAAGAGAGAAAAGAAATGCAGACAGCATAGTCGATTTAGTCATTTATAGATTAAAACCACAGACTTAATGTAAGAGATAAGAACGGAAACAGAACATAATTAAATGTTTTTAACTATTGTAGCTCTTTAAGAGTCAACTATTTTTACCTGTAAGTCCAAAGGGGAGATTCGTGCCTCTCTGTCATCTACAGTCCAGATGGGTCTACCCCTCCCCTCAGCCGATCTGGCGTCAATGATCTTCCCAGAGGTTAGCCCACCTGTCAGACTGCTGTCTTTGTGGCGGAACAGGGATGAATTAAACACTTGGTCCACCAGGTTGGAGGATTTTTGGGAGAGTAGGTTAGCTGTGCTGCCTGACTGATCTGTCTGGAAGGAGCCAAACAACATAAAAATATAATACTGCATATGCAACCAACATCTATTTTTACCTTCAAAAAGATGTGAGAGGCAAAGTTGTTAATTTAATTGGTAATTTAATTAATTTAACTAAATACCACAATCAAACATGCATATGAATTTGAATGGATAAGCTGTGTTTTTTTGCACTTACGTCTAAACAGTATGTACTATGAAGGTTTAAACCAATATCCCACACAGGGGGCCAACTAGCTTGTCAACTGACCACATAATCACATGTATCTACCCAGCAGAACAAAGTGCCAGCTACAGGCCTGATATGTTTTGTGGTCCCACAGCATGGACACACACCTGGTGCACATACTGGATTACTGTTCAATCTGTTTTGTGAACTGATGCACATATAATGAGAACCCCGTCTCTCATGTAACACTTATGTATCAAGGAAAATATAGAATAAAACGTACACAGTAGATTTACTCTACCTGTCCAGTTTTTCCATGTGAGCCTTTGCCATCTTTACTTTTTGAGAATGACACTGTCCAGTCTCTTGCAGAGTTAGAAACATTCTGCTGTTTGGAATCAGACACACTTTTCTCCTCAGGCTGTGTTTTGGAGGCACGTCGGGATGATGGATCCTTCTTCCCTTCTTTCACCCCCTTAGAATCAGCCTGACCTTTGCTGCTCTCTGTTTGGTCCGGGGGAGAGTTCCATCGGCTCCAGTCCAGACTACTAGTGCTGGTCCCTGGAAACAGATGTCCAGATGCAGAAAGAGGTTGAGGATCTGATGAGTCAGAAGGAGTTATAGGGTGGCTAATAAAGGAGGAGACACCACTGAGAGGCTCCAGCCATCGCCCGCCGCTTTGTCCACCACCGACAGGCTGCTGGATCTTTTCATCCAGTCGCTGCAGAGCAGAGAGCACCTGGGAAATCTCAGCCTTTACATCATTCAGTGACTCCAGTTGTCTTTCTATCTGGCTCATACGGAGTAGCAGCTTACAGACACTGGCCTTCAGCCCATCGTCACTGCTTTCCAAGGAGTGGAAAAGCCTTTGGAGTTGACCTAGGCGACCACGTCTGGCCTCGGGGGTGTCCTGGTTGATGGTCCCCGTTCCATCACTGGGGTGCAGGACTCCTGTGGAGCCACACATGCTTATGTCATCTAAGAAACGAAAGATGGCACTGATGTCATCCTCACCAAACTCAGGGTCATCCAATGAGGTCATGAAAGAGAGGCGATCTGCGTGGACCAGGCTACGGAGGCGCCGGGGGTCCGGTAGGTCTGTCTGGGTTCCCTGTGCCTTGACTGCATCACCTCCACTTGGCAATCCACTATCCCCACTCTCACCTCCCGAGGACCCCAATTTGCTGATAGCAGGGGTTGATCGTCTTGGAAGTTGCCCCCCTTGTGATTCCATCCCCATCCCAATGCTGCCCATGCCTATCCGGTCCTCTAGACTGTGACTCTTGTTGCCCCAGATGGGCCTCGGGGCCTTGGGAGGCTGGAGGTGTCGGGGGGACCACTCTGGGGCTGACCCAGGTCCGAAATAAGTTGAGTCCTGCAGGTCGTCAAGGCTTTCATGTTTAGCCCGCTGCTCTGGCGATTGGTGGACTGTTGTTGGTGACGGGTAAGGATTCGGAATATTTTCAAAGCTGTGATTGTCAAAGCCTTTCTGCCCCGTTTTGGGACTAGGAGACTCACTGCTGACAGTCACCTGGGGTATTAGAGGCGGCTGGTTATGGAAGTCCTTCCTAAAGATGTTTCTCTTCTGGTCAACAGATGATCCCTGTTCAGGTTCAAACACCTCCACAGGTGCGGAATCTCCACTAGACTCACTGTCCGTTTCCAAAGGCAAGTAGATATTCTTCATGACCTCGCTGGAGATTTGACCACTAGGGTACAAGAGTGTTGTATGAGGCAAGTCGAAGGACACAGCCCTCGCCCTGATTGGAGGGGAGGACACAAGTGAGATGGGATCGGGCGGAAGACTCGCTCGCTTGCGGGCAGAGTAATTAGATCTCGGAAACAGCAAATGCTGGTCGATAGGCCCACCACTGGAATCGGAGTGGGAGCGTGCTCTCTCTTGACCAGGAATGTTCAGCTGGTGGATTCCAGGCAGACTGGGGCCTGGGGACTGGTCAACAGGGAGGATTGTCTGGGCTCTCATTGGCTGACTGTCATCAGGAGCCCCACCCGTCATCTGAATAAGATTGAAGATAGTTACAATGTCAGCAGCGACGCCTATGGGTGATAGCCCTTGGCCTCTGGTGGAAACCCGGTCTCTGAAGAGAGTGGCTGGGAAACAGGGGTCCCGGCTGGCAGCAGCAAACAGCAAACTCCTGAGCTCGATGAGATGCTCTAGGTCAAAGCGGGTGCTGACCATGCGGCAAAGGTCCTGGAACGTCAGCCATTGCCTCATATTGGCCAATTCCTCTAGGATCCCAAGAAGGACCCCAGGGTATTCCTGCTGCAGGTTAGCCATGGTTGCTCACCTGAGGGAAAATAAGGCAAGGCAAAGCAAGTTTATTTTTTATAGCACCTTTCAAAATCAAGGCAATTCAAAGTGATTTACACAATACCTAAAAGCCATTAAGACAAGATATAAAATAAACATAAGGCAGTATGAGAAGACACAAACATAACTGCAGGTAGAATTAACATCCTGTATCTAATCTGTTATGTGCATGTAAATCTTAAACACCAGATGTAAATGAAAGATTGCAGCTCTCTTTCTCTGATTTTTTTCTCTCAGATTTTTCAACATTTAATCAATATATCATAATAATAATTATAATGATGATGATATATTAATAGTATGAAGCACGTAGTATGATAATGTATATTAATATTAGATGTTCATAAGAATAATAAACAATAGTAACAAAGCATTATTTGGATACTGTTAAGTGTTACTGTATATTTGTTTTATTTTTATCTAAAAGATTATAGATCATTATTATTGCTGTCATTATATTGCATGTCAATAAATGAAATAAGACGATTATAGCAATAATACAGATAACATTTTTATATAGGCTATAAAATTAACTGTGTAGCAGTTCTTCACTAAATTACAAGTTTCACATAGTTACAATATCAACAGTGTTCAGATTTGATACTGTTTCATAGTCATCATATAGCTGATCAAAAATGTGTGACAGTCAAAATAATTGGTTTTCAGTTCGGATGGGAAAAAGCCCTTTGAATGGGAAATTGCAAAGCGACCTTATTTTTGGCCCTAAAATAACCGATCATCTGATCTGATGACGCCGTCACACTGCGCACATCTTTACCTCACTGGACATTTTTAATTCACTCATTTCCATTAACAGCTTCGGGGCATACTCACCACTTTACTGAGCAAATGTGAGATGTGTGGATGAAAAGGCATATCTTCATTAACTTTAGCCCAAGTAATCGAGTCGTATTTGAAAACGATCTGTAGATAAGATCAGGAGAGGGGATTTCTTTTTTTCTTTTTTTTTTTTTATAGGCGCAACAATCTGTACTACGAGTCCCTTTTTGTGTTAATGAATCAGCTGGGACAGTTATAGTGACGCGACGATGTTGCAAACGTAATTTGGGTTGTAAATATCTTTCTGAAGGTGCAGCTGAGCCGAGGACTATTTCCACTTACCTGAACCTATTGAGAGAGAATCGCAACCGCGCCTGCGTCCATCAACACTGACAAATAAAATCCAGCTTTAAGCCAAAAGCGAGGCCATATTCCAAATAGACCCGGGTCGGCTCATACTGACACACTCCCTTCACGGGCTTCTCTGTTTGTAACAGCGACTAGCCCACAGCCCAGGCAGGAGAGGAGAAAATTAGAAATCAGGTCATCTTCCCACAAGTCCCTGCAGTCCCCTAAGGGACCTCAAAATACATCCAAACGGTTTCCCCTCACCACAGATCAGCGACGACACTTGCAAAGTCAACAGTACATCCACATTTCAAATAGATACATTCGAGGAGGGACACACTGTTGGCAAGACACTCCAGTGTGTATGAGTGGGGCAGGACGAGTAGCATATTTTCTCAGGGTGCCATGGCAGTAATTGGTTATGTGTGCAAGGTGAGCATGCGAATAAAGGACAGATTAAAAATTGATGTTTGCTAATTGACACTCCTAGAACTACAAACTGACATAAGGTCTGGAGCGAGCTGCCTGTTAGATTGATGCTTAGACACAGAAGTATCCGCCAGACTTCAGCCCTCCCAGACTTTTCACCATTACTCTGCATTATCATCCATAAAGGGTTGTACTTAAAACCCCATTAGAGCCGGAGAAGTAGTAGCACTCTGCTACATCGCTGAGTAGTAGCACTCTGCTACAATCAGAATGGACATCTCTAATTCATCGGACAACTCACCGAGGAGCACATCCATCATCTCATGTACTCAGCAGTCAATGGGGATCAATGCAGTGAATGAGCCGTGGTATGAAAAGCAATGTGGGTTTAGATGTAGGACAATAATGTGGTACTCCCAGCTCTGTATACCAGGTGAAAAAAGTACAAAATGCACTCAAAAGATAATTTGTTAAATAATTTAATGGTACATGGCATTTACAATAATACAGACTGATTGGAAAAACTGATTGCTTTTGTCATTATTGCAACATTGTAATAACTTTCTAACAAAACACTCTTTTAAGAGAGGTACCTTCAAAACAGCATTGGTCCCAGCAGACAGGAAGTGGTATTACTCTATAAGGGACCAGAAACTATAAAAAATGAGAGAAGATTTTTACAGGACATTAGTGTGTTAAGATTTCAGCTGAGATGGGAGCCTTGCTCTAGTTTTTTCTTTGGTTTTGATTTCACCACTGGAGCTACAATAGTTGGAGTCAGTGAGGGATTCAAGGCTGGATCTAATGCTGGGTTCAGGGCTAGCAGGTCCAGTATTGTGGTACTCTGATCACCTGTGGAAATACAGCATCAGGAAGGTCAGGAAACAGAGTGGTGGCATTCAGCATACATATTTTTATGCTCCGGGATGAGGCTGCTTACCAGCGTTGTCCTCTTCACCACTGGGTTCTGGTTCTGGACTGTGGAGAGAAACCCGGGCCAAGTCTGCCAAAGCAGTTATGAAACTTTCTTCTGCCTCCTAATGGACACAGCAACACAAACAGTGCTTAAAGGACTTAACTGTGCTGGACTGTAGATATATTCATAAACTCATCATCGAGTAGAGAAATACAGTAGACTTGAAGTATATTAACCTGTAGCTGCATTTTGATCCTTTCCATGGTTTGATCTTGGGCCACTTTCTTCCGCCTCAGTTCCTCATATATCGTCTCCTGTTCCAGATCACACAGCTCCAACACCTTCCTTTTGTGAACTTCAACCCTAATACACACACAAATTAAGAAAAACTCAAAATTATCCTCATGCAATGTAAAATTAACTGAGTAGTCCCCCTCAAAACGTTACTAGCACTTCAAGGCTTGTTGTACCTTTGTTGAAACTCAGCGGAGGTGGGTTTTTTGCCCCAGTTCACCAGCTCCCTCTGCAAGGCCCTTTTCAGCTGACCGCTGCTCTCCTTCCTCTCATCCACCTCTGAAGGAAAAGTTTACAACAGTAAAGTTAACACTTAATATTCTTTGAAAGTAGAGGAGTGTTTGGTATACTCAAAATTGTCACTGTCTCCCAAGTCCAGACTACTACTAGAGTCTGGGTGTCATCCTTGACAGTACACTATCCTTTCAATCCCACATCAGTAACATTACCCGGTCTGCCTACTTCCACCTACGAAATATTAATCGCCTCCGCCCCTCCCTTACCCCCCACACTGCCGCCATCCTTGTCCACAGCCTCGTCACTTCCCGTCTGGATTACTGTAACTCTCTCCTCTTCGGCCTCCCTCTTAAATCCCTCCATAAACTTCAATTGGTCCAGAACACAGCTGCCCGTATCATTACTCGTACCCCCTCCATCCACCACATCACTCCTGTCCTCCAACAGCTCCACTGGCTACCGGTTCAGTTCCGTATTCATTTCAAAGTCCTTCTATTAACATTTAAGGCCATCCACAACCTCGCCCCCCCATATCTGTCCGACCTCCTTCATGTTCCCACTCCCTCCCGCTCCCTCAGATCATCTTCCTCCACACACCTGTCTGTCCCCTCCGCCCGTCTCACCACCATGGGGAGTAGAGCATTCAGCCGCTCTACTCCCCATCTCTGGAACCTACTACCACCCCAACTCAGAAATATCGATTCATTCCCCTATTTCAAATCACAACTCAAAACACATCTGTTTAAAACTGCCTTTTCCATCTGATGCCAATTGCTCTGTCACTTTTGTATTGTTTTTATTTTTATATTTCATTTTTATTGTTGTTAATTAATTAATTAATTCTTAATGTGTTTTAATCTCAATTTGTGTAACTGTGTACGGTGTCCTTGAGTGCTAAGAAAGGCACCTTTAAATAAAATGTATTATTATTATTATTATTACATACTAATCCAAAGCAGGTTTTTAGTGTCTAGTGTGTTCACACTAGAAAAACCACAAAATAAAACGATACATATCAGACAGAATGCAGGCTACATATGGTAGAAATAGACATTTTGATGTTTGGTATTTTTGTATACTAACTTGTAAAACAGTATACTATGATGATTAGTACGTAGTACATACTTTATAGAAGCAGTATGTATTACAGACACAGCTATTGTCTCCTATTTGTCTTTTGTCCACTTAAATCAAACTGCAAACTTAATGAAATAGCAAGTTAGCAACCACAGAGGTTACAACTACTACAGGTTTATTAATTTGGTAAATCAACAATCACAAGTGCCCAGTAATATTTAACTATAATATGGCTTACTAATGAAACACAGTAATCATAGCCTCCATTTGTGGAAAACATAACACTTAATACAAACAGCATTTGTCTTGACAGAGAATATTAACACTAGAATCAGGGTTTACACAGATGTTGACGTGCACACGTGTTGTGATCGTCACCTCACCCCAGTTTATGTTTGACTGATCCTGCTGTAGTTTTTTGGCAACGTCTTGTAGGTTGGAGTAGTAACTTCGGACGTGTGCAGTGAGAGAATCTTTGGTCACGTATACGCTCTCTGACGCAGCCTCTATCAGGTGGTGCTAATGAGTTAAAAAAAAAAAGAAACAAACAAAAAAAACAAAAAAAAAAACAACAATTGTTATTTACTTGGCAAAGTAATCTAAGACGCATACAATAGGAATTTGATTTATGAGGGATTCATCATAATGATTTATTCATTCATCGTATCTTTAACCCAAAACCATACCTTCAAGCTATCGTCCGGTTTCAGAGAGGTCTCTGACTCTGTGGTTTCCATCACCTGTTGGATGGCGTGGCTGAGGGCATTGCCAAGCACCAGCTGTGCATGGCTCTGCAGCAGCTCCACTCCTGTTTCCAGTTCAGAAAGGAACTCCTGCTGGAAGCTGTGACCCACCAGCTGACTCTCAGGACCCAGATGCCTCTCTG